TGAACTCTTCCCTGCCACAGAGCCCTGGTTTCCCCTGACCCTCCTTCTACAAGCTATTTGGATAATAGGAGTTATTCTAAAGGAGTTAGGCTTCCGAACAGTACTTTTCAGTTCGTGCCATGCTTCATTTTCTTTTTCAAAGCAACTGGCCATTTCTGAATCTCTTTCTTGTTGATTCTCAAATAAGTTTACTTCATTGGAAATTGGATAGATTCCTTTTCATGATCTGGATGGCCTTACTGAGGTGGCCACATCACTTGGTGCCATCCCTCATATCCCTTTGCATGCCGTGTGCACTTTCTCCACTAGTGCAAACCTTCAGTCTTTATCGTCTGCATCTCCAGGATTATTATTCATGTGGGTGGTGGTAGTCAATCCTGGAATAAGTTGCAAGGGGCATTAGTATGCTATCCTACCTCAAAAAGAGGGTGGCTGCTAGAGCCTGTTTGCATACCTACCTACCAAATTCATTGCCTGAGAGGGATATGCCAGACATCCTTAGAATGAATAGCTAGTTGCAAGTATATCCTAAGTAAATGAGATTTGGATTGCAGCACTGGAAATAAGGAAAATGGGTCTCATGAACCCAACCCTTCCTTTCTTGCTCCAAGGGACCGGAGAGTACTTTATAATGGAAGTTCTTTCTTGGCACTTCAGAGCTAACAATAGCTCTGAAATGGAACTCCAGAAGGTCCCTAACAAGCTCAAGGATAGCCTTTCCTCATGTAAAGAATGAATGAGCATTGAACCAAAACTGAAGACTTCCCCCTAATCCTTTCCTTTCATTTATGCTGCACACTCCACCCTTAGGGTTTCTTTCATGGTTGGAAAGCTAGCCCTAGCCAGTGAGACCTACACAAGCCTTCTAACTGGGTAGCTCATCTCTCCTGATGGCCTCACGGGGTCATGGACCTGGCAAGGCAATGGTTCTCCCTCCTCTCCTGAGTTCCTTCGCATCTCTTCCAAAACATATTGGCCTGGGACTGTGGGCAATGACCTTGATGCAGATTCAATGGCTTATGCCCCACTTTGATCCCCCTGTTCTCCCATTGCCTCTCCCATGGTGCCTTCCCCTTCAGAATCTGAAAACACAGACTCTCAAAAAGTCAACAAAGAGTCCCTGCCTCTCTCACTACATTGGGTGCTCTGGCCAATGTTGACATAGGAATTCGTGGTGTTCTTTTTGAAGTGAACAGATACAGGAAAACCTTTTTAATTGGTGCTACTATTAAACAATTGAGAACTTTGCAGATCTACTGCAAACGACCCAGAGATAGACTTGTAGGTGCAAACTCACGTGTTGTCCACTCCTAAATCACGTGGTTACTTCTTATGCTAGTGTCAAAAGGACATATGGAGAAAATGTGGCATTTGATGTAGAACCTCGAACATTACTGACACAATGTGGGAATTGGCCACAGAGGAGTGCCTATCCCTTCACAGAGTCAATTTAGGACTCAGAGTCCTTGAGGAAGGAAGCCAGCATCAAAGTGAATGTGGGCCAATATGCCAGAGAGCAACACATTTTGTTTTTCTTATTGTCTGGATTAAAAGAAACCCAACCTCTTTGACAATGCCAATCAATATTGTATTACAACCTATAATTTGAACACCAGTGCAAACAATAAAAATAAAGAAAAGTACTGATCAATGCCTGAGTAGGGGACTTAACAGCCATTTCATCAAAAATCCCATTGAAAACGTGTTTCGCTATTTGTGCAGAATTACCCTGCGAACATTTGATCTGCTGTAGGCAAGGTGTTTCTGTGCACAAGAATCATGGCTTCTATTTTTAAAGTATTGCACTTGACCTCACTCTGAAAACAACATCAGGAAAAACTGCATACCACACTGTGATCTATTGGCTGTTTCCAGATAGTTTTACGTAAACATGCATGATGTATTTGTATCAGTCAGGAATACAGAATACATAAATGGAAGCATCCATGATACCAATATGCACTTCAATCCTTTTCAGTAAAGCTTCACATTACTGCTTTGCATTGGTCTTCATTCTGAATAGGACACTACCAGAAGGACAAACATGCAAAGATGTTCCATGGCTACATATGGCTACGCTGCTGTTTGGCTAATGTCTCAGAGCTTATTCACTTCCTACCCTTTGCCACTCCATTAATTTTCTCCTTCCCTCTCTCTGTCAGACATGAACTATATTTGATAAGAGTGGTGTGTATGCTAGGAACAGTTGCAGAAACTTCCACGATTAGGAAAATCTGGAAAAGGAACTAAAAGTTCCTGACCATAGAGGCCAAAGTAGTTGGCACACAGCCCTAGTCTATTCATATGAAAGGGAAGAAAGACTGAATTGCAGAACAAAAGAAAGACACACAGATAATAAACAGTAATGTGCTGGTAAACCTTTGGTCCTGTTTAAAATAAACTTAGATTTACTTTATGCTGGATAAGTTATGCTTGATAAAAGCTCCCAAAGTTTGGACATACAGTTCATAATGTTCTATTGAGGCACAACAAAGCTTCTCATTATATTGTACCACATAATGTCCCATCATGTACATAGAACAACCTCATACAATAACCTGGGCTGTGGACCAGTGGATCAACACTTGGAATAGATATGGATGGATATGGTCCTTGCTGGCCGCTCTGTCACACCAAAGTCACACAGCATTTCCACATTTCAAGCAATATGTCCTTTTTGTAGCACCTGGATCTCAGTGGACCTCAGAGCAGCACAGAGTTTGTACAACATTATTGGAAAGGATGTACAGAATGTAGCAGAGAACCAACTATTGCACAGCCCAGTGCTAAGCAAGGGTTTGCATTGGAAAACCAAGCACAACATAGCACATACCTTTGGCAGATCCCAGCTGGATAGGTTTTGAGCAGTCGGCATGGACTTACCTTTCCTGCTCTGATATGGAGACATCTTCTCATCACAAACATTTCTGAATTGCCAGTAGGAAGAACGTAACAACACAACTTGAGGCATTTCAATCTGACTTTTTTCTCTTTTATGTGAGAAGGCCACTGTTGACACTATTTTTTAAAAACACGAGTCTTTCTTTACAGCCAGCTCTTGGATGAAATCATTGATTCAGGAGGGCTAATGCAAATGTCTTCTGTGCCTTGCAGAGTTTTTCTGTGACATATTCAGTTACTTCTCTGTAAAACAGGCCCACCTGCAGGCCACTCTGCATGATGCTTGCTTATATGACACAGGCACACTTGAAACAGCCCCGTGCAACTCTTTCACCAACCTAAAGCTTCTCTCCAACCACTGCACATTACTTTCCATTCAGGCTCAGGAACTGCCTTGTTGTCATTTAGCAGCCTGCCTGCTTTCTTAAATGTAACATGGGTGAGGCAATACTTTGGGACAATGCGGCCCAAGTGATTAGACAGAAGAGCATGACGTCACTAATCCCTGTAGAATTCTCTACAGCCTCACATGTCTCAGGGTTGTGTTTCCTCTTTGTGATCCATCTTATACGTAGTCTCCTAAGAAGCGCGCTCTGAATGACAAAGGAATGTGCATATAAGAAGGCATTAGCTGACTGCTCAGCACCGGACAAGAAGCCCTAAACTGGCATGTTAAAGAGTTCTAAGCCATGGATGGTTGTGGCTCCAATTGGCCACATCGGGACTTTAAAGGAGCTATCCATGGTGCTGAGCATATTCAGAGGCTGTGCTTAGCACCATGGATAGCTTTGCTTTTTGTAGACCCTACTACAACCAGAGTAAATACAGCATTGTATGTATAAGTCTATACTGCCCCTTGTGGAGGAGAAAAGAAAGCACAACATGAGTGTGGAGAAAACCAGCATATCAGGAAGAACCATGAGCTGGATTTCTCCCTGATGTGACAGCTTTCTATGCACAAGGTACTTCTTTGGAGGTGAAGGGGAACCTATGAGCATTCACCTGCTGCCTCTAAGATATAGGCTGCGGAAAAGGATCTGAACCAGGCATGTCTGTGGCTTCTACAGATCAACATTATGTCCCAATTTTCACATTCATTTCTGACATGAGGAAGATAGCTTTTTCCGTCTTTTAGTTGAAAGCCAACACCCTCTTTGAGAGTGCAGTTGAAGGAAATGTCTATTATGCTGAAAAAATATGGACACATCTCTTTGTGATGCTATACTGTAAATGGGCCCAACTGAATCTCATCATTCCCTTTATGGAAAAAACAGACCTTATTTGTTGCTCTCCATTTAAAGGGATCTCTTTCTCTCAGAGTGGAGTGACAAATTACTTGCCATGTGGCAGTTTTCTTTCAAGGTTTAGGAAATGTCCTCTCCCATGTTACATTCTGATGTTGCAAAGTCACCACCAAGTGACTTTTGCATTACATTTTTGCTGGAAGAATGTGTCTTCTGAATTCAGCCTCCCATTACAAGCTTTGTAAGAGGCATTTTGCTTTCAGGGTATCTTCAGGATATGTTAAACCTCCCATCCCATCTTTCATAAGGGCAGTCAGAAGAACCACTGGCCATTCCAAACTGAGGGACAGAAGACATAGAAACCAAGAAACAGAGTGAGTCAGAGGCGGCCTTCTGGGCCATCTAGTCTGACCCCCAGCTCCAGCTGGCTCCAGCTCCAGGTTTACCTCAAGACCCTTGAGGTTTATCATGATGTTACCATGCCAACAGTTATTGTACCACAATCTACACCTTATTTAGTACACAATGCATCACAGAACAGGTAAATGTTAACATCATTTACTAAAACAAGAAGCCATCAAGTGTTCTAATTTATAACGTTTTCAGCTTTTGCATACAATTATGGAAGAGGAAGAACTGGACACTGTGGCTAAGAAACCTGAAGACATGAATGAACTTTGTTGAGCAAAGCTCTGATTATGGTCTAGCATACACAGTTCCATCTAGTGCTATAAAAAGGAGCATCAATAACCCCTTTTCATTTGTCAGAGAGAGAGAGAGAGAGAGAGAGAGAGAGAGAGAGAGAGCGAGAGCGAGAGCGAGAGCGAAATCCAGTTGGGAAATGTTGGTACTCACGGTCATTGCACTGGTTCCCAGAGTAGGATGTCATGGAACAGTCACAAGTGAAGCCTTCCCACTGCTGGATGCAAATGCCTTGGTTGCCACAGGAGTCTTCTTGACAGGTGGTGCTTGGTCCTGAGATGAAAAAAGTGTGGAAAGCAAGAAACAAAGAACAGCCATTGGAAAAGAGTCATAAGTAGGGTATGATTAGACTTCATCATGCATCAAGGAAAAGGGAAATCACAACTTTTCAATTTCATGGACATGCAACAGAAATTCAGGACACACAGACAACATGAATTGCACACTCAGCAACAAACAGGTAATTGTGGCACAGAGCAGAAAGGAGGAGTGAAAAGAAGCATATTCCCTCTTAGGCAGCCTCTAATGAAAACTTATAATAACTAAAGTTCTTCTCCCCGAAGTGTCAAGACCCATCATTGCTCTCCTACTTCTTCACAGTAGAACCACCCAGTTCTCCAAGTTGTCTATTCCCTGGTTCCCTGTCCTTGTTTTTCATCAATGGGGGGTAAGAAGTTCTTTGATTCCCTCCAGGCGATTCTTTAAGGGTATTTGGAAGGCACTGACAGCTTTTTTGTAAATAGTAAGCACTTACTTCAAGGCATTTGAGCTGGTCATTGAAAGGAAAATGGCTGTTAGTGAAATGTCCATTCTCCTTTTTTTCTTTCCCTTTGCCCCTATCTCTTGGAATGGAAGTATTGCCAGAAACCAGAAGATGCCAGCACCTCATCTTTGATGATGACAGAAACTGCACTAGTGCATAAGAAGACAAAGGAGAAGGCATATGCAATCTTTTGATGTACCACCCTAGTCATGTTTTGAAGAGCTTATTAGCGCCTATAATTATAAGCTTCTGTCACTGTGCTTCAGCCCTGCACTGTTAAATTCAGACAAAGAGTGGAGATCCCAGGATAAGCAAGAAACAATATTGACTGATCCAAACCCTTGAGACACCTGGAGGCAATGAATTAACAGCATCCTCTGAGATTCATCAATCAAAATGGATCCCCCCCCCTCGCCCCTGCTGCCGCTTCATTATCATGGAAGACTGAGTTCCACATGGAACAGGGATGCAGCCATAAAAACAAAACCAAGGTGAAACAAAATCACAAAAATGCCTGTTTATGTTTGTGCCAGCCCACCCAGCCTTTTGGAGATGAGCATCTTCCTTAGGGGCTGGCTAAAACACAGGAACACAGATGGTGAGATCCGCCATCTACAATACTGTTTATTTTGTTGCTTTATCAGACTCTGCAGATTTGAAAACTGGAAAAAATAGGGTTGCATTTTGGATCAGCACATAATGGGAGAAGCATAAGCAACATCCATGTTTATTTCCACAGTGGTGCTCTCATGTCCATCAAAGGAATGGTAGATAGATTAATGGGGAATATAACTCATCAAAAAATCATAAAAATCCAGCAAAGGATGAGGCCTAATGGGCTAGAATCAAGGTTGATTTGAGTGGCAATCTAGGGAAGGTTGCTTCTGCTGGAGGAAGCAGGGAAAAGCTATTTTCCCCTAACCTTGTATCCCCTGTATTTCCTGAAAAAGTAATCTGGAGGGCTGGAACAGAGTAGGAGGTGAAGTGCCCTGAAGATGGAAGAAGGAATCGGCAAAAATTGCACCCTTCTCTTTCCTTTATCTAGTTACAGCTTCTGCTGGATCTCAGTCCCTTCTGTGAGCAGAAGGGCAAGTCAAGATCCATCCCAGTGATTTCAAAACAAAAGATGCTGAAACCCAAGGGATTTGGAAATTATTGCAAGGTTATTAACTTCATGATATGTAAGTTGATCTTGGTCAAATGACTTCAAAATCACCCTCAAAATTAGTTCCTGAATACTTCCTGCTTCAGTAACTAACAGAGCCTTCCTCATTTTTCTAATGTGCTTTGCCAGTCTATCATGGGGAAACTATCTGGAATCACAGTTTCTCCATCCTGTCAATGGCAGATAAATACAAGAACACATGTTTAGTAACGTCTCCTCTTCCTCCTCCCTGCCACTCCAGTTGTATGCTGAGTAGTGACAGACTGGCCCAATGCAAACAAAGCATTTGCATCACTACTCAGCGGCGCGCAAGAGGCAAAATATTGGCAGTGGGTGGTGCACCAGTTTAGTCACCAGGGAGCAGAAAACTGTTCCCCACAGCTATACTCATCTCCTGGTGACTGCCACATCAAGTGATGACTCATTTGTGTTAGTGAGATAATCAGTATTAGCCTTCTCACTCACACAGAAGCATCTGCATTCCAGAGGCACTGAAACTCTGGAACAGTTAAAGACCTTCTTAAATGATACATGACTCTAACTTCAGGATCCTGTCTTTAAGGCTGTTTGGCACAATCGCTAATATATCAGCATGACATGGTGATGCTCATTAAAGCCACAGGAGAATTATATGGGAAGACTAATGATTCTTTCTAAAACTTTTTAACTTGGTGGATTCAAAATTATGATTTTTCCCATCATCCTTCCCTGCAAACTATTTTCTAAGCAGCCACATAATCGGGCACATGGAAAAGCTGGCAATCATCAAAAGCAGCTCTCCCCAGCATGTGGGTGGTTATCAGAAAACCTTCACTTGCTAAATTTCTGCTTGCTGCAAAGCTGTTAAAAGCATATGTGTTCTGCCAGGAGTGATGAACTCCTAAAAGCCTAATTTCAGAAGCCTAAAATCTTAGCTTGGTTCACACATGCAAGAACATCACTTGATGACTGCACACTTGGCAGTCAAATGTGCGAACTGGTTTCACTTAAACGTAGACATGCAGATGAAGGATACAAATGGGCTTTGGCAGCTAGGTATGTTCACCTCAGGAGGAGGAGCAAGCATTAGACGCACCAAATGTTCCACTGAGATCAAAATCCAACTGGGAGAAGATTTCCTGGGTACGCCTCCTTGTGAAAGTTGGGGCTAAAGGAAAAAGAGGAACCTCTTCATCCAAAAGGCTCCATACCTCCACTCCAGATATTCTTGTGGGCAGCTCCTCAGAGCACTTTTCCGGCAAAACAACATGGATATGAACCAGGACCTACAGTCATGCCATGAATCACCAGATGGGGAAACGTGAGGCCTTTCAGGATGACCCTTGTGTTTCCACCATAAGCATCTTTTTCCAAGGTGGGTGAGGTCTCTCTATCTCTCAAGTGGAAGCAGTAGCATCCTGCACTTCTGGAAGGCTGGTTGAATGGAGGTATCACAGAAGATTGGCACACCGGGCTGCGCGAGTGAAACCAGAACTTCTGTCAGGACTTGAGCAGTTGTGTCACATGCCTGAGGAAACTCTGCAGGCAACAGCAATGCTGGCATTTGCCTAGCTTCCATGTACAGTGCCCAAGAGTACATTCCTCTGTGGAGGTGGGCCATGACAGTAGGAAAACAGGGTGCTTCAGGCTTACAGGAGAAACAGCTCTTGGATTTTTGCCTCTTGCTTGTTCTCACAAATAATAAACATTTCTCTCTTTCATGGTAACATAAATTCAGTTTGATTGAGCTCAGAATGGATGCATTCTGACTGGATTCCACGGATGCAGGCATTTTACTCCACAGCTGAAGTACCAGGAAGTTAATTGCTTCATTTGCCCCTGGGCATCCATGCACCTACCCTCTAAGCAGTGGCTAGAGATAATTCATTAAATGAGAATCCTTCTGGGATACCTCCTTCTCGATCAGCCTACTACTAGCACACTGAAAGTCATTTACAATTCCATTTGATTCAAGACAGAATTAAATGTTGTTGCAAATTAAATGTGGTTATTTAGAAGAATGCACTGCTCTGGTCCTCTTGTGCATTGCACTTATTCCTGCATGATCTATGGGAAAGCTAAAAGTTGCTTCCATTGTGTTTTAGCCAGGGTCATCGTAGTAGTACCAGGGCTCATGGGGTTGAGGTGCTAGACCTTTCTGATTCACAGGAACGAAAAAGTCATTTGCCATCCTGTTCAGGTTTCCTTGTTTCCTCTGAGCTAAAATGCAGTCCTTATAGAAGCTGGGAAGAAACAGCTGTTCCCAGAAACAATATATTAAAGGGAATTTAGCATAATAAGAGTGCAATCCTAGGGCCATCTAGACTATGTTAACATAAATGCCCATAATCGTCCAAGTTCAGAGGTTTTCTGAGAAGCTTCCCTGGATGCCTCTTTAAGTGTTATAAGAGTATTATGAATAAATAAAGGTTTAAAAAAACCTTGCGAGCTACCTTTGCTTTAATGCAAAAACATTTAGGATGCCTTGATCCTGAACAAAAAATTAAGACCCATTAACACTACCAAAGAACCGCTTCCAATGTTGAGATGAATCCTGGTTGGTTGATGTGAGTCCAGACCACTGCCTACATTGTTGGTCTTTCCCTGTGGTTGTGGTTATGGGATCTCCTCTCATGAGGAGTTCGCCTTTCTAAATCTACCGCCACACAATGGGTTTTAGTTTGATGGGGTTATATGTAGGACTGGGCTAACAGTTCTTTTAGGATTTTCATTTCTAAGGGGCATTGGCCTAGTCTGGGAGTGATGGAATTGTGACTTTACCCTATCATGGCTCCCTCCAGATATTTGGGGCAGCAGTGGTAAGCAGAGACACTGCCAGTTGTGCCATCACAGAGCCCATGTGGCTGAGGCCAACACTCTAGGGCAGGTGGTAGACAATGATTTTTCCTCCTTTCGGGGGTAATCTCTTGGAGTGTAAGTGTAATGAAGAACTTGGGATAAATGAACCAAGGAAAGTATTGGTACCGATTCCTCTTCTTAAGGAATGAAAGCATGGCATACACACATTCTTTTTGTTGTCTTGTTTGTAAGTCTGAAAATCTACAAAAATCATATTGCTTGTGGAGGGTATCCACTCTCATGGGTTCATTTATCTCGATTTTGTCATTACATTGGGAGCTCTGTTGGGAACACTATCCTATTCATTTCACTTTGTTTTCTTTTGTGGCCATGTTTTGGATGGCATGTGTCAGAATTGGGGAGAAACTTGACTCAGGTGTGCAGAGGTGGATGAGGAATACTTACTTAGTCTCCCACCTCCTTCTGTCTCCCTGTTTTCTGTGTCCCTCTCCCTGACATCCCCTTATCTTTCCCCTTCACTCCTAGTGGACTGCGGGGGAAAATCAG